GGAGAAAGCCCCGGAGTACACGGGCGGCAGGACCGCGAGGTCCCGCAGTCCGTGTCCTCCGGGGGAGCCCCGTTCGTAACTGCCGATCCGCCATAAGTCGGATCCGCGTAAGTCGGGGACTGCCTGTACTAAACATGGTACAAAGAAGAATTGAGGCAATCCCGAAAGAATGCCACAGGCATTCTAAACTGACATTGCTCCCCTGAAGCCCTCCCCATATCTGCACAAAGGGGCTCCCATGCTGTGTGTGCAAATGAGTACCTGTGTGAGGCCTGGAATCCCTCTGCTGTCCCAGGTCAGTGGCCACAGCAGCCCTGGGATGGTTTTTACAGCAGGAAATGAACATTTGGCCCTAGTCATGTGTATGACCGACAGACACCCCCCCTCCCCTCACAAGGTCACCCAGCTGCCTCTTCTCCTCTCTAGTGTTCAAGGAGAAACCAAGGGGAGGGGGAGAGGGAGGGGGAGGGGAAAGTGAAACAGAGTCCTTTGAGCCCTGGCTATTTGGGGGATTATTTTTAAACTCTCCCTTGCAATGGAGCCTTTGATAAATTATTCATTGGACAGAAAAGGCTGCAGCTGAAGTGCTGATGTCAGGAGGAAGGAGCCTAGTGCAGCAGCCCTGGTGCTGCTACTGCTGCTTCTGCTGCAGAGAGCCACTCAGGCTGAGCATAAGGGTGCAGCATGCTGCCTGGCTCCTACTCCTGTTCCAGCCTACTGAGCAGCAGCAGCAGCAGCAACGCTCAGGCCAAGGGTGCAGGGCCAAGAGAGGACCACGAGGAGGAAGAGGAGGAGGGAACGGTATGGCTCTGCTCCGAAGCTCTCTCTGTCTCTTGGTTCTGGCGGTGGCATGCCTACTGCAGCGTGCCCAGGTGAAGAAACCAGTCCGATGCCCTGCCACATGCAGCTGCACCAAAGAATCCATCATTTGTGTGGGATCCCCTGGTGTGCCGCGAATCATCCCCAACGACATCAGCTCCTTGTAAGTTAAACCTTCCTGCACTTGACTTCTCTTGGGCAGTGGCCGGGTGCCCCTCCCATCTCTTCTCTGTGGTTTGGGTTTCTTTTCTTTAAGTTGCAGGGGGGGGGGGCTAGATTCCCTGCTGGGTGCTGGCTTCTTGATGGATGCTAAGATCCCAGCACTGTGCTATATAATCAGTGCATGGCAGTGTCTGTGCTTTCCCTTGCTGAAATATTGTGCTGCCATGCAGCTACAAAGGAGTTTGATTTTTATACCTGAAAGACCTTTTCAAATAAGAAACTGTGATTGCACCATTTCTACAGAAAATATGTAAGGGAAGGAAAAATACATGTATGTATGTACTTGCCATATGTAAATCTTACATGCCCGAGGAGATGGCAAATGGCCATATTAAAGTGCAATAGAATTAAAGAAAGATTTACTCCCTGGTAATTATTTTATATGGCATTATTGCCTTGGGGAAAAGACTACACAGACTTTAGGAACTTGAAAGTTAGTTAGATCCATTTTTAATGTGAGTAGAATTGGAAATGATGGCGTTTTTAATTTGTACCACTTTAAAATCTGATGAGCTTTTACTGTTAATCCTGCTTAACATACATACTAATGTTCCTTTCTCTCTCTCTTTTGTTCTTTCTTCTCTATAAATTTCTAAAAATACTAGTAAGTGCAGACAAAAAAACCCCCATCTGTACCCTTTTGAGCAAAGTTGCCAAGAGGCTAAAAGTACCTGGTATTAAAGATTAATGCAAGGATACGGTGAAAAGGAAACTTTCCAAGCTTAGTGGGGAGAAGCAACGACAGGAGCAGAATTAAACAGCCTTTAAACATGAATATTGGCCCCATTTGCTGAGATATTATAAAAAGGAGCCAGGCCAATCAATGGGGAGGATATTGGGATACTCCTAATGGAGGTGAAGATAATGAGCCTTATTTAGTTATTAGATTTTCCTGCTTTTTTTTCCTCTCAGGAGCCTGGTAAATGGAACCTTTTCTGAAATCAAGGACAGAATGTTTGCCCATTTGCCCTCCCTGCAGCTGCTGTAAGTACTGCAATTCCCAGCAAAACTCAGCTCCAACTAAAACTTTTGCCAAAATCCCCCTAGATATAGGCACTGTGGTGTCTTCAGGAATAAGATAATAGACAAGTTAATCGCTTAGGTAACTCCATTGACTTCAGTTGTATCACAGTATATTAACGATGAATTTGCTTCACTGATAATAATGCATAAATCCATTAAGGAAATTAGTGCTAATTTACTAAGAGAATATGTTTATCTGCTGTTTTAAATTCTTTGTAACTAAATAATTTTAGGATAAAATTCGCCTCTTGGAGTCACATGATTGATCTAACTTCAATCTCATGTTCATTCTCTGCTAATGAATGTGACATTAACTATGGAGGGATTGTTGATATCAGTGGTGATTTGCTCTTAGAGTTCAGCTCCTTCGAGAGAGAAGAACTTTGTGCTACCTGTAAGAGCTCAAAGTCTCTTAAGCAAAATCTGTTGGTTTAAATGTGGCTTAGTGGAAGAAAGTGTTGGGCTTCGAGGTCACGGGTTCAGTCCCACTGACCTGATCTAGGAAGTGCTGACTATCCTGTAGGAAGGGCAGTGCAGTGGTTAAGTTGTTAAGGTGGAACCATGTGGAGCCTTGTGTTCAGTTCTTTGCTCTGCTGCAGACTTTCCGGGTGACCTTGGGCAAGCTGCTTAGTCTCTCTGACCCAGATTTTTTAAAGTATTTAGGTGTTGCTGTGTTTAGTGGTGCAATGCCTAACTGGTTTAGGAGCCTACATTTCATTTTAAAGGACTTAGGCACTTAGGAGCCTAAATCCCATTGACAGTGCATCAGCGCCATATCAATAAATACTTGGATAATCACAGTTCCCAGTGTGAGGGTGTTGTGAGAACATACATTAAAAGGCTGACAGGCATTACAGAAATGGGGGCCATGTAAATACCAGAGATAGATAAATGAAACCTGGGGACCACTGACACAGAATAGCTCCTGGGGATCTCTGGTCAGGAGGGGTGAACATTCAATCCCTTCATGTTTATTTCTTAAAAAACCAAAACCAAACAAATACAGCTGTGCCAAATACCTTGGTTTCCCCCTTTCTTTCCAGCGGCAGAGTGGAGAGAACACTGGGGAGAGAAGGGAAGCTAGGATGAGGAAAGGCCTTCATCCCCTTCAATGCAGCACCACGGAGTGCAGCCAGGAAAGGGTGGGGTGGGTCTGGCAGAGCTTTGCACCTTTAGTACAGCAGCCCCCCAAGCTTTGTGTACAGTGGGAAAATGCACTGGGTTAAAAAATATAGTAACTAACTAGCTGCCACATATGAAAACACTCATGTGTGCACCAAGGGGAAATCCATGTTTAACATGGTACTGGCTTACATTTACAAATACAATGCTTTTTTCTCAGTGTAGGCAAGGCCATAGAGTGCACTCAGGGGAAGAAGGGGGTGGAGGCCTCCAGCCCTTAAGACAATGAGGGGCAACCTAGGCTAGTGTCTGGGCCTCATGAGTGACCTTCCTTCACATTAGTGGGTTGCAAGAGTCTCATAACCAGTGTCTTAGCACGGGATAGTTTTGCGAACTGAGCTTGCATACCTAGAATTTGTGGGATGTGCCAATTGAACCATAGCAGCATTTCGATTGGATGCAGAGGGAGTGCACAACTCTCACAGTCAATGGTATGTGCAATCGGCACACAACCTACTTCATATGCCCTTGCTTTAAGTGCATGTCACTCTTGTAATACCAGCAGGAAAAAAAACCTACGTGGATGAAAACCAGCAGAATCTGGCAACTCTGTTCATGGGCAGCAGTCAACAACATGTCTCATGGGCCACAGAAAGAACCCCAATGGGCCACATTTTCTGAAGCCCCTAAGAGGCCAAGAAGGTGCCTGTGAGAGTGCTCTGAAATCAGTCCTCTTCTCCGCTTACAACAAAGTGAAGAGCTGAGGGACCTCTTAAGGCAAGCTTGCCCCCCGCTGCCTTAAGAGGTCCCTCAGCTCTTCACTTTGTTGTAAGCGGAGAAGAGGGCTGATTTCAGAGCACTCTCACAGGCACCTTCTTGGCCTCTTAGGGGCTGCAGAAAATTTCACTGTGCAAGCTCAGCCTCAGTGCCAGACGCCATCCCGCTCCCCTCCAGAACAGTGTGGGGAGTCCAAAGAGGGGCAGGCCAAGGCAAAGGGAGCCAAGAGCCCCAGGCTGCCTGTGATGTCCAGCAGATGACAGGAAGAGACTTATGTGCTGAGGGAGGGGCTGCCCTTTCATTTTTTGCAGAAGTTGAGGTACAGTGGTGAGATGTCCTGCAGAAGACATTGCAAAATGAGGGCATCAGATTGTTCCTAGGGGAGGAGGAAGAGCCCCCACCCCAAGATGGTTTTTTTGTTCATGTTATTGGGGAGATCAGAACTGGGGAGAGGTGATTCACTGTCACAGTGACCACTTACCTTGGGCACCCTCTCCCTGTCAAATTTTACTGCCTATTGTATTATATAATTTTTACCTTTGAAACAAAGGAATTTGAATGATTCAAGGTATGAAAGAAGTAGTTTAAGGTGTGAAATGAAATAACCGTTGCTATTTGCAATCTTTAGTACTGGTTCATGTATATTAGTAACCCTGGTAAAATAGCAGTAGAAGGAGTTGTTTTAATTGCCATCTCAATCTTTCTCAGATTTCTTTGGGATAATTTACAGAGTAACTGTCTAGAATTAGCACACTGACCTAGGATCAGAGAGAAATTTTGCATTTCATATTCATTAGCTTTCCCAAATTAACTGTAGGGAATTGCCTGAAACTATGCAAAAAGATGATTACTTAGTGGTTATAAGTAATACATGCCGACATGTTCACTTGTAGCTTCTGGGAGTTCCAGGAGCTCTCATAAGATTTTGGAAGTAGTCTTTTCTGTCAGTGGGGTTTCCTTTTCAAACAGACTAACAGGACAAAGAAAGAGCATATTTTTGATAAGATATGTGTTTGAATGCAAACACTACGGGGCAGATTCTCCATGCCATGCTGAACAGAGCTGAGCTTGGTTGTATTTTCATGATTCCCAGCCTTGGTGCAAGTTAGAGTTGCTCCTGTCCAGTGCTATCTAAATTACACTACTGACCAAAGGTTCCTTGGATGGGGCAGAATCACCTCTGCAGGCAGAGTATAGAGGGAGTTGCCTGCTGGCTGTCTCTGGCCATTTTAAGGCCATTTTGCACAACTGATGAAGCAAAAGGAAGACTTAGCACGCACCATAAAATACTTTCTGTGATTTTTCAACCAAGGTGGTGATTCCTGGCATGGAATATTCTTTCTAAAGCATGAAAAACGTTAATTGGAGGGCAGCTTATGCCATTGATTTTTTTTAAATTAACACTCCATAATATTTTCTAAATGATGCATTGATGGGATAATATGGGTCTGAGTCAGTAAGATTAGTCTGAAGATAGTCAATAAACATAACTGGCATAATCAGTCAGGTTTTCATCACTTTTCCTAATGGTTGCTCTTCATTTTTCAGCTTGCTGAACTCTAACTCATTTACTATCATACGAGATGATGCCTTTGCTGGTCTCTTCCATCTAGAGTATCTGTAAGTTCTATATTTTATGTGTTTTGTTAGCCTTTTATAAATCAAGATGTTTTAATGAGTTTCCAAAACTCCCGCCTTGGAGAAACAGTTCTCCCTCTGATTACCAAGGGCAAGGGAAATGAAGGGATTTATGTTCCATTTTCTACTCAAATGTCTCTTACATCTGTCTACTATTTTTTTCAGGTAATGCGGAGAATTTTTAAAATATGCCATACATGCGAGGGTGACTCTATATAAACACAATTCACTGTCATAGGAGTGGGGTTCTAGAAATCATGTCAATTCCATCTGTTACATGTTAATAGAGGAGTTTGAAATGTCAGTCAGTAGATAATGGCTTGACTGACAACTCCCAGCAGGTGAGATGCAGAGATGCAACACTGCCTGTTGTAGCCATGATCCACTTTTTCTTCCTTCTCCCCTCCCACTCTGTCTGCAATATCTTTGCCACTCCAATATTTCATTGATCCTTCATCCTCTTTCTTCTTTTAGCTTAGTTTACTCCTTCCCTTTATTTCTACTTCATTTCCTTTTTCTTATTGCTCCTTCTCTTTTTAAAAGGCATACCAATCATATTAGCTTGTTATCCTCACTTTACATTCAAAGGGATTTTCAAAGACTCACCTGATTTCGCATCTCAAATCAGGAGATAGGTTTTTGGCATCTGAACTCAGTTTGGGTACAAGATGCATTTTTCCAATAACTTTTCAGTGTTGAAAGAAACTTCCACCATTGTACTGCTGCCTGGAGTAGTTCAGGAACACTAACCTCTGCTAATGCCTTTATCCATCTCGAGGCAGTTGCTACTAAACTTGATGCATTAAGAACAAATATTATATTATGGGTGAGCAGCCAGCAATAAAAATAACAGACCCAACAATAGTGTCAGTGTCATGTTAGTCTATAACTTTAAAAACGAGTAGTCCTGTGGCACCTTAGAGACTAACAAATATAGGATCATTTGCTTTTTCTGAGTAAAACCCACTTCATCAGATGAGTTGAAGTGGAAATAACAGAATCCAAGATATATATAAAAACAAAAGCAGTTATCTGACAATTGTAGAACCTGTGTTAATGAAGCTAATTAAGTGGGATGGATGTGTCCCATTCATAGATTTTGATGTGAAAATGTCTTTGGCTTGGTAAACAGTTTATGGTGTAATCCTTGATTCTACTGCACCTGGATTTTTTAGTGACCGCAGGGGCTGTCTAGACATTAATCAGTTTTACAAGTGGAGGCATCAAAATGTAGAAAGCTCATGGAAGCAAAAATGTATTCAAACTTGGATTTGTTGTGGGCTGGCTTTCGCTTGCAAGTGGTGCTCGTGAGGAGCCCAAAATAGAGCACGTTATAGTAGCCTATGTTTGTTGTGATGATGCAGTGACCAGGCCCACATTAGAAAGAAAAGGATGGAGTCAAATAGTCATTTGATCAAAGGTGGCATTCTGTCAAGAAACAGAGACAAATCTAACAAGAACCCAAGACTCCACCCTCTTTAACCAGTGCCAAAAAGATACTAGCCACTGAAGCTATAATCCACATTTCTGCCAATTCTTTAGAATGCTTCCTTCTGCCAAGAGACCTCACCTCCACCTTTTGTAAATTGAACCTAAGAAGCTATGTTTCCTCCACATGAATGCTAAGTATCATTAATACTCCAGTATTCAATTTCTCCCAGGCATCGATAACCAGACCCAGCATAGGGAATAAAGGAACCCCTCTGACAAATGAGTTTCTTTGTGTGCAAAATAAGGGATCGAGGAGGAAGTCAACCCAGGAAGTATGCACCACAGATAATGTTACCAAAAATAACCATATTATGTCTACACTGTTAAGACTAGCATATATGTAAGTACTATTGAGGCTACAAGGTTATGTTACTGGTGTCTGAATATGTAAGCCCAGGAGCTCTGAAAAAGGACTAGCCTTAATGTACTGTCAGTAATCAGAGAGTGAGACTGATAGGTGAATTTTCACTGAAGAGTCCCTTCCATAGAAGGATCAGCAATGCAGGAATCCATCTATACTAGGCTATGCAGTCTCTGAGGGCGTATCTCCACTACGTCAGAAAGTTGCCTTGAGTCATGTATTCAATCGCTGAACTCCAAAAGGCAACACAGTCCCCAAACACCATACTTAGACTCCATTATGCTGGGGATCAATGCTGCAGTGATTGATTCCCTGGCTGTTGATTTATCAGGTCAATTTAGGTGTGATGAATCAATCTCTGAGAGCTTTCCTGTCAATGCCGGTACTCCACTAGGATAAGAAGAACAGCCAGCATCGACAGGAAAGCATCCCCCACCAACCTTACTGTATACAAGCCGACATGGTAAGCAGATCAACGATAGCTACTCTACTTGCGTAGCTGAAGTAATGTAGAATAGATCAATGATGGAGATTAGTGTAGATTTGCTCTATGTCCCAGTCCAGACTTCCCCATTTTGAAACATCTGAGCTTGATGGACCTCTGGTTATTTACACCAATTGAGGAGAAAACAGATCTTGGTAACGCAGGAAAAACCTTTGTCTCCTGAGAGGATGAGGAAAATAGCATCTTGAGGGCAGGTCTACACTAACCATTTGGTAACGTCGGTGGTGGCTGCTCTCTTGTTGACACTGGTTATTCTTCTCGTTCTGGTGCAGTACCAGCCTCAATGGGAGAATCCTCAAAGATCAATTTATTATGTATCAGAAGACACAATAAATCGACAGCCAGTTGATTGATTGCTGCAGTGTCAATCCCCAGTATAGTGGAAACAAGCCTTCAGTATGGTGTGAGGGGACACTCTGGCCTTTTGGAGCGCAGACTGAATTCATGACTCAAGGCAACTTTCTGATGGACAACACTGACTCCTGTCTAACATCCTTAACTGTGCTCTCGATGTGAAGAGGGGTCCTTGTCACTCTATGAATATGAACAGTTACTTCACAGCTTGGCACCAATATACGAACCTAGGTGGATAGCAAAGAGCCAATGGGTAACTTTTCACAGCAGCTGACTATGCTCTCTAAGCCCCAAACAAAATTATTTCTCTAACAACTTAGTTCTTCTAAATGTAGGGAGTGCAAGTTCCTTTGCCAGCCTTGGTGGTGACCCCACAAGGTGTAGCCCTAAAGGAAACTGTAAAGATTTCAGTCCAGATGCTGAAAATAGGCAGGTTCATCTTACTGTCTTCACCTTTTCTCCATCACTTACATATTCCCTCTCTCTGCTGCTGTCTGCTCATTTTGTTTTGTTCTTAACTTACTTTATCAAGAAGAGCTTGCAATCTATCTTCACATAGCCACACCTATCCAATGGCACTTGTACGTGCTGTGGAACACAGACTTCTCGGGTCTGTCAGTAGAATTCATCAGAGGACGGTGAACTAGTTAGGAAGCAGGGAATAGGGATCTCCACATTGTCCAAGCTTTTCCTCTTTTTTTTTTTCATCTCTTTCTCTTTTACTCTTTCTCTCTCATTCTCATTTTGTCTGGGTATGTCTACAGAGCAAAGTTATTTTGAAATAACAGCCATTATTTTGAAATGAAATGACCAACGTCTACACAGCCAAACCACTATTTCGAAATTAAATCGACATAGTGAAGAGCTTATTTCAAACTTAGTAAACCTCATTCCACAAGAAATAGCACCAATTTCAAAATTGCTATTTCAAAATAAGCTCTGTGTAGACGCTTATTTCAAAACAGGGGGCCCAGCCCTTTCCAGGGTGCTCTGGTGGCCACTCTGGGCACAACCAAGAAAACTCCTCTCCTTCCCCCCAACCCCGGAGCCCTTAAGGGGGTAGACTCTAGCCACAGTGCCTGTGCCAGCTCCCAGCCCAGAGCCAGCAGTCACTGCACCTGACCCAGTGGCCCCAGCATGAGCCAGGCAGCTAGTGCCAGCCAGCCATCCACCGCTCCCCAGGACCAGTCTGCTAGCTCCCAGGAACCTGCCAGGGGCTGGAAAAGGCGGGCGCCTGCCTGGTCCAGTGCAGAGATCAGGGACCTAATTCAGATTTGGGGGGATGCCTCCAACGTCCATGATCTCCACACTAAATGGAGGAACACAACCATCTGCAGGCAGATGACTGCCAGCCTGGCCACCAAAGGCCACATGCGAACCCAGGAGCAGGTTCGCATGAAAATAAAGGAGCTGCAGCAGGCGTATACCAGGGCCACAGGGGGCAGCTCCCAACTAGGGGCAGACCCAGACCTATTTTAATACCGTGAACCTCATCCTGGGGGCAAGACGGTTTGTGCCCCCCAGGTGGTCATCGACCCTGGGGCAGAGCTTGCTGCCTACTGCTGCTCCAGCCCCTGCTGCCTCTCCAGCTACCGCTCCTCCTCCCACTCCTTCTCCGCCTCCTCCTTCTTCCTCCCCACACCTCAGGGATGCCAAGGCCCCTGCACCCATGGTGCTGGGAGACAGTTGGGCCGGCAAGACCCCCAACCCTGAGCTCTGAGCGTCTCCTCCCCCTTCTTCCCCTTGCCTCCCCCTGCCAGCTCCCTCCTCTCAGGTTTCCTCCTCCCCTCTCCCACCATCTTTCCCCAGTCTCACCTCAGTTTCATCCCTCTTCCCCCCAGTTTTGTTCAATAAAGAGGGTTTGTTGTAATGAACACGTGTCTTTTATTGTACAGCAGGAAGCGGGGTTAGGGAGGGGTAAGTGGAAGGATGTGAGGGAGGAATGAGGCACAAGCCCCCACTGGGGCACACCAGGGAGACTGTTACTGCCTGCAGAATGTGCTGCCAGGCTCACAGCAACACGTCCAGGAGGAGCACCAGAGTGTCCAGAGGTGGCTCTGGCTCCATGTTGCAGAGTGCTGTGGTGTCCTGAGTGAGGGCAATCAGAGCACGCAGGGAAAAAATGCTTTGCTGTCCCTCAGCGAGGTAGGCAAGCAAGCAGGGAAACCTTAGAACCAGCTGTCCTGGGGGGGAGGGGGGGTCCCTTTAAGCACAGGTCTCAGCCTCAGGCAGCAGCCAAACAAAGTAGCTCCTGACCTGATACCCTGCCAGAACTGCTTCCAGCTGGCCTTAAATGCAATTCAGCGTCCTATCAGTGTGGACGCGCTATTTCGAAATAGCAAAATGCTATTTCGAAATGCATTTTGTGACTAGACGTGTCATTTCAAAATAAGCTATTTCGAAATAACGCTGTAGTGTAGACATACCCTTTGTCACCTGATTCTTCTCTTGTGCTTCGGCTATAAGAGAAAGGAAAAAGGAATGCGAGTAGCTCTACTGACATTTCTTCAGCACCATGTATGCAGGAGCCTAAATAGATACTTATTAAATTAGGAGGCTGCAGGTTAAAACATCAATACTAATACTGCTCATTAAGGTATTTAAAATACATACTTATTATTTTTTTCTGTATAGATTTATTGAAGGAAACAAAATAGAAACCATTTCAAGAAATGCGTTCCGTGGCCTTCGTGATCTGACTCACCTGTAAGTCCTTTAACACTTATTAAGTGGCATTTATGTATTGCCAAATGTTCCAAGCACTTCTGTAATTGTTTTTACTGTTAATAGTGGAGGCTGTTGCTCCTTTAAAGAAAACTAGTTTTTTGTGCTATATGGGATATTTCCCTCTTATCTCTACAAATCGGGTAATTCAGACTATTAGAAATTGACTTCCAGGAAGTTTAAAAATATTCACTGTTCTGACAGTACTCCAGGTTTTTCACCTGAGTTATACACACTCACAGCCTGAACATGCACCTTTACTTGTCTTATTACTAATACCTTAGATAGTACATATTAAATTATAGTTAAAATTCCATTTACCTTTCAGCATTTCCTGCTTGTTTGTGTGTTTTATTCTCTTGGGCAATAAAAACAAATTGCCCTAATTCTGTTCACTTTCTGTTCTCACACATTAGCAAAGGCCAGGTCTACACTGACAGAGAAAATCGATGCAAGATACGCAACTCCAGCTACGTGAATTGCATAGCTGGAATCCACATACCTTTCACCGATTTTCTGGGGCAGCTCCACAGTGAGAGGTCACTGGGAAAAATAATCCTATTCATTTCCCTTACTCCTTGTGACAATGAGGAGTACCAGCACCAACGGAGGGCGGGGGCCTCATTTTTACTAGACCAGCTAAATCAAACCTGGATGATCCATTGCCAGATCATCGATCCTCCATCAAGTGGCGATATGGCCAAAGATTCAAAATGGAGGCACTGTGTTTAATTTATTTATGGTTGCATTGGTCATGGTCAGTACTAAGACTTAGATAACATCAAATCATTAACATTATTTAAGTGATGTTAGACTTGATAGAGTCAAGATAATAATATGTTCAGATCTAACTTTCTTTTCTAGTTCTTTGGCTAATAACCACATTAAAGCTCTGCCAAGGGATGTCTTCAGTGATTTAGATTCTCTCATTGAACTGTAAGTAATGAAAATCTTTTTATTGATTGCCTGTCATTGTGACTCTATTAATCTGTGTTTTAAGTTCCATTTTTTGACGTTGTAGCTAAATGCGTTAAAAATAAATGCTTGTGTTTTATTAGACCATCAACTTGAAAAAACACCGTTTGTGTGAACTTTTTTTTAATCTATCTTTGTTTACTCACCCTAAAATTACTGTTATTGAAAGAGATTAGATTTTTAAAGGATGCTTTCCTTATTTTTTCATTTTGTTTTTGACAACACTTTGCTTGGATTGTGCCACTGTTTTCCCTGTGGTTAGTCAGTACCCCCTATTGTTTGCCCCAGAGGCTTTCACACAGTAACAAGGGAGAGCAAAAAAAAATGTAATGTAGGAAATTGTGTTTGGAAAGCCACAAACATTGTCAAGAGGCAGGGATTGCACTTTTTTAAATTAACTCAACTTCACATTGATGGTAACCTTTTAAGAATTTAAACACACCGTGACCATGTCACATGTTTGTGAAATTAGTCTCTGCATGCTCTGTTTCAATGTAACATAGAAACTTCACTGAAAAAGCTGCTATTGCCAGCCGCCTGCTTACTGAAATGGTATAGTGAAGAAAAGGAATCTATGAATTTCAGTGGAAATCTCAGACAATGGAAAAGCAGAGGAATGGGAGGGAGCCTTCTTGCTAGGATTTAGTGAATTATCATTCCAATCCTGCTAATGCTTATGAACATGAAGCACCTGAATAGACCCATTTCATTCATAAAGTTACACGTGTATGTTTCCAGAATTCGGTCCTGTATTTGTTATAAACAGTGTTTGTTATGAACACTTCACATCCATGAAGTGTAAAGAATAATACAGTTAGGATAATGGAAAAATCTTTCCCATCCTCTGTTCAGAATCAATATAAAATAATTCAGCTACTTTTGAATTAAGTGTATCAACATGATAACAATTCTGCAGTTTTGTTTTCTACCAACCATTTCAAATATGTTTATTTCTGTGTGTTTTTTAGAGATTTAAGGGGAAATAAATTTGAGTGTGACTGCAAAGCCAAGTGGTTATTTTTGTGGTTAAAGATGACAAATTCCACTGTTTCTGATGTCCTGTGTATTGGTCCAGCAGAATATCAGGATAAGAAGTTAAATGATGTCACAAGTTTTGATTATGAATGCACCACTACAGGTATTCGGAATGTATATTTCTAAGCACACTAACTATGATTAAAGATTAGAAATTTAGATTAACCCCATATTGCTAAGTCAGCATGATGAGGGTGGGGGGAGATGGTTCTGTATAAAACATTTCAGAATAACAGAACAAGCCTAACTATTGAGATGATCCATTTAAAAAACAAAGCAAGTAGATGAGATTTTATGTGGATTAAGTGACAAAAGGGACAAGAGCTGTCACTTTAAATTCCGTAAGTTTTTGTCATAACTTTGTAACTCAGTTTTCAGGCACAGATCTTTTGCTGTTGTCTGGAATAAGGCCATGTATCTATGTCAGAAGAACTTCCTGAAATCAATCTATATTTTACAGAATGTTAAATAATAGCACTGTATCTGTTGTTCACTAAGCCACTGGAACAAATAAGCGTTAATAACGTTTTCAGCACATAGTTATGCAGAATCACAAGAATGGAAATTAACATTGGATAATACTAGTGCTGCTTGGCTTAGGAACCTGGCATTTGTTTTATATTAGATAGTAAAAAGCATTCTCTAGCAGGTGGAGGGAAACTTGCATGAAGTTCTGATTGTCAGAAGGTGACTACAGACCAAACATAATCAGTTATCTGTATAAGAACATCAACCACTAATGTTTTTGTATGAGGAGAGTAAATTGCCCTGAAAGAAGTTGGTCCAATAAAATATATTACTGCTCCTGCCTTATATCTCTCACATGAAGGAATGATAGGCATATTAATGGTATTTGAGTTCTCATCTCTGAAAAAGCAAGCTATCAAGAATGAGAAATGCTCTTAAAGTCTTGTGTAAGAGACATCATAAAAGTTGCTTGCTAGAATTGTAAAGATAAACTTCCAAGCCAAGGTACAGCATACAATCCAAGCGCAATATATATGAAGTATAAAAAGAATAAACTCTACGGGTACGTCTACACTGCAATACTATTTCAAAATAATTAGTGCTATTCCGAAATAACTTAGTTTGCATCTACACAGCAGGAAGTCATTTTGAAATAATGTCAAAATACTGTCAAGCTGGAGGACTTCTTACTCTGACTCCCATAACCCTCTTTGAACTAGGAATAAGGAAAGTCAGAAGACGCTCCCTATTTCGAAATAAGATACACAATTGACGTAGCTCAATTTGCGTAGTTTATTTTGAGTTAAGCCCTGCAGTGTAGACGCACCCAAAGTTAAAGCCCCAAGGTATGTTAGAAGATCATTTCTTGTGTAGACAAATTAATGTAAACAAAAATAGAAGAGAGAAATTGATGTGAACCTGTACCAGAAATCTCCATTATTGTGTTTGCTGATACACAATGAGGCAAAAACACAAACTTTTACTTAAGTCAGTCTGCATACATTTAAAGGTTACTGTTGCACAAACACTGGCTTAGTGTTGTGTAAACCTTGACAGCCAGATTGTCAGAGCTAACCTGATTTATAGCAGCTGAGGATTTGAGTTAGACTTACTCTCTCTGTAAATGTATGGGAGTGTATGTGTAACT